GCGCAATTGTGGGTGCTACTTAGGTAGCCGGTCACTGCACGATGATGTAAATCTGTCATTTGAATGGACATGAGACTGTCAAGCAAATGCAGGCTGCGCCCACCCAGCCCACACCCGCCCGAGCGCTCAGGCGTCCCCAAAGGGCGCGAGAAGAAAAGCAGAGACTGGCGGAGAGGGCAAAAGGCAGAAAGAGAAGAAATCCACAAGGAAATTCTGAACTGGACTCGATACCTAGCCTGTTAGCCAATGGGGATGGTATAAGCACGTAACACGACCCTGCGGATGATCAGGGTGGCGCAGTACTTGGTATCCATGTTACAACCCAGGAAAAAAACACGCAGAACAAAAATACAGAAAAGGGAAAGAATCAACAAAAGCGCGACGAAAAAGAGAATAAAAGCAATATTCGGCGGGCAGGGCAACGCAAGCGAAGACTGCCAAACACGGAACGACATAGAAGCCATGGAACCGTTATTCTTCTGAAACCCCTCCGTGCGGAGTTCGGAGTACTTGCGGGGATGGTGGACACAGACGAAACGGGCCAAACACCATCTAGGCAGTGCAAACAAACGGCATGGGGCTCCGAGTTCCGGGCGAGATCTGGGGTTGGCACCTCGTGAAAGGAGGTACCTATTAGGTACCCGCTCGCTCACTGCCAGGCAATTACGAGGAGGCCGCCTCCTGCAGAAAGTGCGTTCTTCTGCGCCCGGGTTCTGATGACTATCATCCATTTGATTGAGGCGTCTGTCTGGATGCACCTGGACACATCTGCACACACCACAGGGAGACAGAGTGAGAGAAAGAGGAAGGGAGGCGGGGGGGAGGGAGGGAGAGGGACACTGCAAGGCTGCAAGGCTCACACACCATCACACCCATCAGACCACCCTGCCCGCCCTGCTCTCCTCTCCATGAATTGCGAGCTGGTGCAGAACAAAAGGACCATTCTGATTAACTAGTCACATGGCTGACTTGGTGTTTCAACGAGGGTTGGACTCTCACCAGCCTAGGACCTAACCCAAATTCGATAGGCGGCATGCCTACTATTCCCATCATGCATCCGTTTCTGCTCCTGCTCTCTACTGCTTCTGCTGCCCTTGCCGCTTCTCCCAGAGCGTGTGCAACGTCGGGTTCCCCTTGGTGATGCCCAACCACGCGTGCGACTCCAACTTCGGCTTCCCGTACCGGAGCACGTCCTCCGGGATCAAGTGGGCGCGCTCGGCGTCCAGGAGCCTCGCGATGAAGACGACCGTATGGGCGTCCAGCGCGGTGGGGCCGACCCCGTCGCCGAAGATCCATGTCTCCTCTTGGTTTCCTTGTCCACCTCCGTGCTTGGAGGAGAGCAGCTGGCTGATCTTCTCCAGGTACCTTCTCGAGTCCGCTTCCACGCTGGCCACTGATTGGTTCTTGTCTTGAAAGGTTTGGAGCCTCTCCTGATGACTGTAGCCGGACGTTTGAGATCAAAGAAATGCACACTGCAAACAGAAGGGATGGACAGAAAATGGGGCGGAGAGGTTAAAACTCACCCGTCTAGCTTGACCTGCAGCATCTCGCGATATCGCGGAGAAGTATCAGGCCGAACCATGATCTCACGAACAGCCTCCATGACGCCCTCGGTGCGGCGGTCCTCGGGTTTGAACGAGATGGTCACGTATGAGATCTCGTGTAACTCCTGGAGCAGGGATTCAATCGTCTGCTTGTGCGCCGCGGGTACCAGGCTAGGATACCGATCGCAGAGGTATTTGGTGATATCCGTGCTGTCGATCAGTTTGACACCGAGAGACGGAGCGAGGAGGGCCGGGACCTAGATCGTTCCGAGTACGAAGTCAAAAAAGATACGTAGGAATGGGCAATAGCACGGATGGTTCCAAAGCCGAAAGACGGATACTCATATTAACTGGCAGACTACTGCCCCACACATACATACCGTGCCCTTGGGATGTTTCTCCAGATACGACTCAGTCATCTGCTCGCCGGTGTAGATGTCAATGAAGCGTTCTTCGGGGTCGACCGCGTCTGCAGCCGATTTCGGCTCCCCTTTCACACGCAAGGTGTACAACACCATCAACGAACAGATGGAGAAGGGGTTGTAGTAGAGCTCATAAGGGGAGGGTTTGGAGCCATTGGTTTGCGCCATTGGATGCCGAATATAGAACTCCTTTCTAAGCTACTGCTGACGTTGAAACCGAAGATGTTTTCCTGTTGTTGTAGTTGGCACTGTCGTATGTGCGGTGAGGCCCTGGATTGTTGGGGCTGGAATCAAGATCGTACAGGGTCTGTGTCGCTGTCTATCAAAAGATCGTTGGACAGATTGACAGACTTATACCGAGTATATGTGTGCGGATGTGTACATGATATATAGTCTCTGTTGTCAGCATGTAAATATATGCCCAGCAACCCAGATCCCCTACTTACGCGGTAGGTATCTACGTAGTATTCCGATGTCCACCCGGTGTGGGTTGCGTCAGTCGTGTAAGATTATGATACGAACGGCCACGTCCTCCAATTTTCCATTGCGTTGTGATCATGGTGCCGTTTGCCCCGTCACTCAGCCTCGGCTTACCGGCCCCTCTCAACCCGTGCTCAAGCTACTTCGTTAGACGCCTTCTCCGGTGCTGAAGCGTCCCAAGATCGATCTTCGTCCGAGACTGGTGGTAGGTGGGACCGTCAATGCAGGGCTGCAAGGCCATTCAGGCCCTCCGCGGTTTGTGTGAGACTCGTCGCCCAGAGCGAAGGCTAGGGGCCCACAACTTAGGTCCCACGACTTGTCTCACCTCCTTTGGCCGAAGACACCTTAGCCGAACGACCGTTCTCCGGAGTCTATATCGATGCCTGGATTCACTTGATGATTGACTCTTCCCCTTGAGATGGCATCTCGTGAGGGGTCCTGATGACTTGTCCGGGCCATCTCACCAAGCCCATCATGTTTCCGCTCACGTATTCTCGCTACTGCCGAGCAGGAGAAACAAGCTTCGGATTCTGTCCATAAACAACATTTCTACAAGAACTGCAAGTTTCCAAGGAAGAGGTCTCGAACTGAACGAGGACACCACTTTCATAGGCCAATACGCATGAATCCTCGTGTCTTGCAGATCTTTCCGTACTGCAAGGATATATGCCAGTATCTGTTCCCGTGTCCAGCCATGCACTCGCGATAGCAGGACCATGCTCAGACCTTCTATTTGCCAACGCCCACATCCCGACAATTTTGTGCTTCGGATCTTTTGGCTAACTATTCGTGGGCCACTTGAAGAGCTTCACGGTCACGTTTGTGAAGCCAGCTGCTATCATGCGGTCGCGGTGATGGATGGCTGCACCCAACGACCGGCCCAACTTGTCACTGGCCTCTAGCAGCAACGAGCTCCATTCATAAATGGTCTGGCCCTCGTGAAATGACCCCGTCGTCAGTCCCGAGAGGGAAAATGCAATCTTGTGGCCCCAGCCAGCCACCAGGGGTTAAATTCCTGGGGGCGCGCAAACAGAGCGACACTGTGTTAGTGCATGGACCCAGAGCTCCAGGGTGGAAGAAGGCGGAGGGGTAGGTATCAGCTCTATCAGACTCCGAGAGGAGTATTGTGGAGCAGGAGTCGAACATATAAGTTTTACCCATAAAACCAGGTCAGTCAGCAGAACTGCCCACCATTATTCTGCCGAAGATGTAATCGAAGGGGAACGACCACGTCCATTCGTGTTCAAGATCATCAATCTCAAACGAGCAATTGGGTGGAACACTAAATGGCCGTCAATCAGCCGTCACCGAGATACTTCCGCATCACCTGGAACCCACTGTGTAGGCTGTATCGGGCTCAAATCGACGCCAATGACCTCCAAAGCAATGGCAGTCAGTACATTACAACGTGAGCCAGCTAGACCGCTAGGATCCTCATACCAGCGCTGCGGGGTGTGCATCGGCTGCAGCAGCCGTCAGTGAGAGCTCGAGAAGGCGGGCTATACTAGAGCAGTACCATTCTGGATCGCCCAGACGCCAGTTCCCATACCGACATCAAGGACTCGTTGAGCCGTCTCTGCTCCCGGCGCAAATGGGCACGACCTCCAAAGGTTGCTACAAAGTGTTGGTTTTGCAGATCTATCGCCCAGTATCTAGATCAGACTGGAGGCGTTTGCATTTTTTTAAATGATAGTTTAACTGTACCTGGTCTTTCTCTCTCTTGCTGGTGTGAGACAGGTCAGCGAAGGCACGCTGAAGCGAAGAACCGCGGACGATGGAAGTATCACCTCGTCATTAGGCAGGATATATTCTGGAAGCGGTGGGTGTTAGTCTCCAACGCTATTGACATGATGACCAGAACGCAGCACTGGCTTCCCGCGCTGAGCGCGTGGTAAGTATGGCCATTTTCAATCTGAAAATTACGAATCGTGGATGTTATTGACGCAGTAGAGATTTGATCATTGCCCTACACAACATCCGACGTGTTATTGCTTTGCTGCTTGATACAGAGCATTGCCCAGTTTACCAGGTCAAGGGCCGAGTCCTCGTCATTGTCGGCCTGCTGGGATCGAAACTCAGCAATAATGGCAGGATAACAAACGGATGTCGGTACTTACTAGAATGAGATCGACATGGTGCCTGTCGTCGGCATCCTGCATTGTTATCGACAACAGCTCGTACCTAACGTAGAGCGTGTCCTCCTGGGGAGAAGACTGTGGGAACTTAAACAGATGGTATTCGGAAGGCAGGTTGATCGTGGTCTTGATTCCTCCTTCGTGGTGGATTTGCCCGAGTTGCTAACTCCCGGCCCGCTCGCTTCGTGGCGAGGCTAAAGACACATCCGCGGGTCTAGACCACGGTCCAATGCCGGTAGAATCAAAAGAACATCCGGGAGACGGCAGCTATGGGTTCTAACGATTTAAATTGGCGCTTTTCATACGGATGCAAGCACAGCATTTCAATGCTACGTCGTGGTTGATGCGTGAGAGCCACATCTCAGCAACCTGTGTAGATGTGCTACCGTCCTTAGATACTACCCCACCTGGCTCGGCCTCTAGAAAGACTCGATAATACTATCCCGACACGACATCGAGTCATTCTGCGGAGTCCTTCTTAGGTTTGAAACCTCAGCTGTGCTCTCTCTACAGGTGTCTTCTCGTTCCACAGTCCAGTTGGGGTAGCTGCAGCTCAACATTCCCACTGGACTCTTCCGCTTTGTGATCCTCAGCATGAGGTTAAATTGTGTCATGACGCCGTAGTCAAAGGTGTCCATAGGATGAGCTGGATTGACAACAGGAAAGTCGAATCGTCGTAGAAGCTGCAACAATCAGTTGCATAGACTCATTATGACGATTTGCACTTACCTCGACGAATACCTTGTTCAGCTCCAACAAGGCAATGGGCTTGCCTAGACAACCCCATTTACCTTGACCAAACACGAGCTCGATAGTGTTTTCCATGGTTGGAAGTTGCTCGCCCTGAGTTCGTAGCCATCGCTCGGGCGAGAATAGGTCTGCATCATCTCCAAACACATTCCTGTCTCGCATGACTGAACGTCCGCTCCAGCCAACGTTTGTGTTGCCGGGAACCCGATGGCCACAGACTACTGCCTCCGTGCCCGAGACTCGCGGGACGATGTCTGTAATAGGTGGCCAGATCCGAAAGCATCCTTTGATGAATGCCTGCAATAAGGGGAGTGCTCGTGCTTCGAAGTCCTTGATCGGCACCGATATCTGACCAGCTTTGACGCCTCTATCAATTTCTTCTTGCAGTGTTTGATAAACCAGTGGTGACGTTGAGGCGTGAAAAATCCCTATTCTGATCACCGTGGCGGTTGTGTCAGAGCCTGCCACGATTTGAACGAGGGACTCAGACTCGGCGTCTTTTTGTGTAAGACCGCGAGCGACGAACGATCCTAGCATATCTCGTTTGACAATCTCCGAATCGCCGTATCGCTCTGACGCGATTTCTTTGGCAATTCCCATAATCTTGCCGAGTCCAATGGCGTCAGTGTGCGTTGGTCGGATCACTTTGAACAGAGGAGAGTGAAGAACGCTCAAGAGCCCTGGTAGCAAGGCTATCATTTGCATAAGAGGAAGTGATTCTTCCGTTGTTTTGATGTAGTCGAAGAGGTCCTCATATTTATCCATGAAGCCAAATGTTCCTCGTAAAGCGAATGTGGAAATGAGGTCCAAGGTCAAGAACTGGATCTTACGAGCAAAGTCAACCGGGCGGAAATCCGTCTCAGTCGAGAGGTACTTCTCCTCAATAAAGCGAACGAACTTCGCTACTTGATAGTCGATCGACTTGTGTAGACCGTCAATGTCCTTTCCAGAGTACTATCTCACCTTAATCCTCGGATGGCACATCAATGAAGATACTTACGCCGGGTGAAAGTTTGGACCTGAGAAGGCTGTGTAGGGTGCTGTCACGGATGGACAGGCTGCAATCATTTGGTGGGTCGAGTTGGAAGCCCTTGAACCATGGCGCTCGATCGAACTGAGAGCGCACTCCCCACATACGGCGAATTTCAATTGGGTCACCACAAACCAGATATTCTGGTGCAATGCGGACAAGGGGGCCTACAGAAGAGGATCAATCAGTGACCCAAGCCGATATTATTCCTTTTCTTTTCTTTTTTTTTGGTTCGATCGAGAGGGCGTACCATATTTATCGCATAAATTACCAAGATCCTTGTAAAGCGTCCCTCAGAACGCTCTACGAAGCACCCACAGATCGGACCAGCCACGCCCAAACGGGCGTGGGATGTGCCACAGCCTTTTCCATGCCACAAATTTACGGCTGATAAAGGTGATTGCAATTACGGCCAGGCCAATGAGCCAATAAGCCATCCTGGACAGTCGTTTTCTCGTATGCTTCTACCCCTAAATATCTGGCCTTGTCTAATCGTGCAGGAACGGTTGTTGAAGCAGTCTAGAAAGAAGCCGGATTTTGAGGTGGCGGATGTCTGTAGAAACGGTGGGGTATAGTCTTGGGCAACTATCTTGAGCGAGTGTACGAGGTACGGGGTATGGAGTAGCGACTGTTAGGAGGGACATTGACTATGAAACGGTGGGCAGGAATACCATCGCGCCAGACTCCCCATAGAAGATTAGAGCGCGCCCCACTTAATTCCGCTTCCTCCCCCGCCGCCGCATACTGGTAGACCACAAACATGAACAGCCTATCAACCGGCGAGGTATTTAAGGCTTGGAGTATAGTGCCCACTCAGACTGTACGGGGTAGAGCTTTGGAAAGTCATCAGAGGCAATTGTCTAGGTTCCCCTACCTGCTGTATATTGCTCTTCCCCCATGCCTCAGCCTAACCCCTGCAAGTGTGGGCGGGCTCATTCTCGTCCGTGATAGGACTTTATCTACTTACCAAAGTCTTGTCGTGTCCGCCTGCTGGCCGGTGCAGGCTGGGTTCTGACGGTGTTTCCTGGGGTGATCCTGGTGGAATGGGATCGATGTCTCTTCCTTTTTCTGCTTCTCTTTTGTCTTCTTGCTTTTCTTGTTTGGTCAACTACATATGTCATGTACATTTGTAAGCCACACATATGAAGAAAAGAAGGACGGCTAGAGAAATAGTCTCATTTATCCAAGAGGACACCAGCAACAAAGAAGAATGTGTATGGAGCAGGATCAGGCAGATGAAAGCAGCGTCTCATTGAATCCCTTCTCAAAGTTCTAAAGCAGTCTAGACCTCTTCAACCTTTTCTCGCCTACGATATGTCCCCCGTAGCAATGCTTGCTTTTATCTAACCTCGGACTTCCGGCCCAACAGGCGGCCGACTCGCGGCCAAGTTGCATTGACGAAACAACCGAACTTCATCCTTGTCGAAGGCGCCCACAACACTGTGCAAAACTCCGTGATTGTTGAACAGCACAAGGTCTCCTTCCTCCCAGTCGTGCGCATACACAAGCTCTGGCGCGATGCCAGGGCGCTGTAAGTCGTGCACGATCTCTCTTACCTTGGCCAAGTCGCCAATGACGCTGCCGTCACGAAGGTGGATCTTGCGAACGACGGACGGGTGGATTTGCAAGGCGAACCTGCCGGTGATGGGGTTTTGCCAGACCATGGGCTGGATTTGGACGTCGGTGGCATTTTCGATAGGCGGAAGTTCATCGATGGGTACTTCCTTTCCTTCGGACACCATGCCCAGCCCGTCCGGGCGTGATTTGGCCGTCGAGATCCAGACATATGGATGGGGTGCATATTCGACTTGGGAGGTGAGCACGAATTCCTTTTGCTCGGCACTCAAATTCTCAAACATTGTATATCCGGATACAAAGGCGGTGGTGCCGAGAGGGACACGAAGGGTGTCATTGCTGCCGTCATCGTAGAGAACGGTTTGGGTCCGTCCGGTGGGGACCTTGACAGCAAGCAGCGATGTCACGAGCGGCGGCTGAAGGCCCCCGAACAGTGCGGCGTCAATGTGCCAGCGGTAGAAGCGGGTAAAATCCAGGTCTTGGTCATCAGGAATGACGGTCTTGTGGAATGTTCGATGATGCGGATGCTTTAAGGTGATGTTCTTGAGGCCCTCGTACTCGGGGACAAAACCGTTTCCAATGACCTGAACCTCGGGCTGATGGGGCACGGTTTTGAGGTCGGGATGGAGGATGGAGCGCTTGGCGTCAATGGTCTTGCCGTGGCCGTATGACATTGCCTCAGGATCGAAGCGTCGGGTCAGTTCTGCCTGGCCCTTGGGTGAGAGGTTCGACTGAGACTTGATGCAGATGACATTGTAGGTGTAGAGGGCGTTGCGGAGGGCCTCGAAGCCCGCATCTGAGAGATTGTCCAGGTCCACATGGTCGACGAGTGCCCCGAATTCGGGTCGAGACGGATTGATCGGCGAAACCGTGATTCCTGGCATGGTGAATGGGTATTTTACTTTGCGGTCAGATTGTCGGTCCTGCTTGTGTTTGAAATGTGAAGGCTGTTGAAGGATTGCGAGAATGAAAGGTATAAATACATCCTTACGAGAAGAGACATCACTTCAGATGGGCGATACTTACCATGTTACTTACTTCATGTAGCAGCCTCGTACAATGCAGAAGGACGTGTTCTCGGCAGACACCTATCTGAAATTGCTTGGGACAATCCATCTCAAGCTTTTGATTCGACGCAGAAATCGGGACGACCAAGATAAGAGCGTCCGAGATGAGACGGTATATCACAAGGCTCGGCCATCACCGAAAGAGGGATTTTGGGGCGAACGTAGAAAAAGAGGAAAATTTGTGCGAGCTGATGCCAAGGCCCGGTGGTTGTACGAGATCGTACGAAGTTGATGGCGTCTTCCGCCAAAGTGCAAGTTTGGAAAAACTCACTTAACCTCACTGCTGGGGTATCACCTTCATCATGTACTCCGTACATGTCTATAACCATTCATATCATATCCTCTTCAAATCTGCGTGGTCTTTGACTTCCTCAAGCCTAGTTTTGCCGAAAGCTTTCGTGTACTTCTTGAGAACATGCCTTGGCTCTTTGTCCTTTCCACTGACATCTCGGTCCCTGATGGCACCGTTGTTTGGCGCGTTGCCGTCCGGCTTTGGTCGCTGAGGGTTTGCGACATGGTCGTCTTTTCTTCCAGACTGAGAAGATCGTCTGTGGTCGTGGTGTTGCTGGTACCCGATGCCATTCCTGATGATACCGCCTCTTTCTCGGGGACTCCCGGTGGAATGTTCACTTCTGCCGGAAGCTCGATGGGCAGGCGTCCCCCGCCGGGCAATTCTGCGGGACTTGTCGTGCCATCGAGCTCAGCAAACCCCTGTGCACCAAGTTCAGGGACCAGCGGCCTGTTGTCTTGTTTCGCGGCCTCGGACTTCTGGAACCGGTTCTTGTAAATAATGTCTTCGAGCCCCGTCCTGAGTTTGCTGAATTTCATTGCCGTCGATACCTTGGTCAGAGGGATTAATCGGTCGACCTCATCATGAACATGCTTCTGTAGCAGGACCTCCTTTCCAGCAAAAGTCTTCGTCATGGCCGTTGTGTAATAGACCGCCGCGTCCTCGATCTGCTTCACCGACACGTACTTGCCTTGGTATCGGAAGGCTCGCTCAAGAATGAGAATCATATCGCAAGCACATTTGAACAGCATCCTTGCTGTTGGAGGCGCGGCCAAGATGCATAGTGACAGCGCAAGTACTCCGCCAGCCCCCATCGTGCCGACAATTACACCTGCAGTTACCACTCCGACCCCGACAAACTCCGCTAGTGTCACCGTCATAAATTTCTTTAGATGGCCGAGAACCACCCGTGTCATGATTTCTTCCACTTCGTCTGGTAACGCCTTGGGAAATCCAAAACATTGAAGAATATGCTGACACAGGATTCGAGCAACGGTTGGCGTGCCTATGGCGCCCGAGAACGGTAACGGGACCATGGCCGTGCGGACCGCGTGGAGGCCCAAACGCATGCATTCTGTAATTGCGGAGTCAATCTTTTGCTCGACATCGACGACTTGTGCCGCAACTGCGAAGATTCGGACCTTTTCATCTTGAATCAGATCGAGGGTCTGTGTAAGAAGTCTCTTGACCCCTTGATCATCGTCTGTCGATACGAGTTAGAATTCTGGTTCACCTTGTGGCTCTTAACAGAGTACTAACCCTTGGAGAGACAGCAGTATCCGTCAGCCTTGTAGTGTTTGATTTGAGAAAGCTCCTGGCGGAGGGCCATGAACTGTTCCTCAGCCATTCTGTCTGCTTCTTGATTTGCCAGTCGCTGTGATTCGGGGTAATTGCCCGTCTGTTCCATGTACTTCTCCAGAAGTAGCATCTTGCGGAAGGCAACCAGCTTGTCCTTTTTCGTCCCAATAACAAAGACCGGTACGTGGTTGGAAAATTGTGCGATGGTCTGAAAAGTTCGCTTGTCAGCTTCCTCGATACGACTAACGTCCGAATCGACGCAGAACCTGTAGCCTTGATGAGCGAATCGATGTTTTGACTTGACCCCTGAAAACATACCAAATTACATGCAGTGCCTCAGCCGGATCTTTCTGAAATGCCCGATGGCGGAGAAACTTGGCAATCAACTCGAGTTCCTTGTCGCTTCCGGCTTGCCATCCTCTGGAATCATGGATCATGAGGCCGGGATTATTGGGAGATTCAAAAGCTACGTTGATGTCGTGACTGCCTTGTCTGTAGCTGTCAGATTCTTCGGTCTAGGCAGCGCCGTTAGTCCGCGACGCTGATCGAAAATGGTCGTGGAGAAGGAATAACCATTTCAACACCGAATATTTTGTTTATCAAAGTCGACTTGCCGACACCCGTCTTACCACAGACCAGTATTCGGAAAGCCTTTACACCACTTGCCTGCAGTTGCAGGCCTTCCAGCCAGGGAGGGATTGCTCCGTCGTCATCCTGCAAATAACGGTCTCGATAATCGGCAAGATCCTTTTTCAGGGACTTGAAGCGAGACTGTTCGTAGAATCGCGGATATCTATCAAGGAGGCAAAATACTGAAGGATGAATAATCGCCCCGTAGCTTCCTGTAGACTTGTCAGAATCATGTGTGTTTTGAGCCCATGGATCATGCTGTTTACCATCATCGCACCATCCAATAAATCCCTTTGAATTGAAGATTTTGCGCGAGGTGTTGTAAAGTGTACTTGGAGAATTGATTTGTAGATTGTGTGTTTGACTATCATCGGTGTAAATTCCATGCAGAGTCTGGAGATCATAGAGGCTGACTTGGATGCCGTTCGAATGTGAAATTCGCCATTCAATCTTTTCACTCTCGTCGATCTTTGGCACCTCACCCGCATATTGCGGAAATGCCAGTGACAGAGGATTTTCTATTTTCAGGGGGGGCGACTTCTCATTCTGGGACTGGAGAACGAGTCCAGCTCGCATACTTTCGATGAGCAGCCACTGCAAAGGATACAGGGACAAGCCATCTTCGCGCGTGCCACCTCCGAGATCTTGATTAGAGCCCATGAACCATGCCTGAACGAAACTCCTCCCCGGCATCTCCTGGGCGAATGGGATGTCGAAGACCTCTGCATTGAGTTGAGCACGTGTCTCGTTGAGGGCTAAGGCGTGTCGCAGGTGCCTTACAGATGGGACAAATGAGATGTCGTGCATGTGGCCTTCGGTAGTGTACTTTACGGTGTCCAGAACTCCAACGAATTGTATTAGTGGTGGCCGAGTTGTATGTGTTCGAAGAAATTCGACGATCTTGGGCCCATTTCTGTTGTCGTCCTCCTTTCGCGCTCTGTAGACATCCAACGCACTCTGGTAAAGGGTATCGAAGTGTTTCAATGACGTGCTCTTAGGTAAATACATAGTATCGAGCAGTCCAGCCACTGCACGGACGATGAAAGCGCCCCGTCCGAATCCGTACAGGAAGAGCTCGTCCTGTGGCTCTTCGATCGTCCCACATATTTCGCGAACAATGGATTTGATCTGTTCCTCGTAGTACGGTGTTGTGACACCGGTTTTCAGCCTCTCTATCAGACTGGGACCATCAGAGGCGGCGCGGTGGTAGCGGACAATCTGTTCGACCGTGCGCCCTTGCGTGTCAACGCAGAGGCCATTGGAGATGATGCTTTGGATGCGGAAAATATTGCTAGGGTTTCCATTTCCTTGGACCTCGTTAGTCTGACTCCATCACAGAGTATTGACAGCTTCTTGCACCTGAAGTTCCATTTTCTCCACTGTACTCTTCAGCGTCGACACAAACAATCAACCGCTTCGCATGCGTTCTTAGGGACATTGTCGGAGGGAGGAACTAGGAAGGGCAATAGGCGAGGATCAGTGGCCGATCGGAGGTGGAAAGGGTCATGATTTGGACCGTGAATCGAGCATTATGAACGGGGTAAAAGGACTCAGAAGCCCTCAACTACAGCCCAGCCAGCTGATGTCTGAGAAGACGAGAGTCCCAGTACTGGGTAGTGATTGACCCAAACCCATGGAGGGTCAGTTGGTGGCCTGAAGTTGAGCCCACTGCCATGTCGTAAGGATTCCCATATTCAGTCTGGTGGGTCGGCGTCGGCGGTGCCTGCAGTGCCTGTGTGGTAATGTGTTAAGCTAATCAAGGGTCTATGTACATAATAAGGGTCCTTCCAGGCACCAAGTTCCAGGGCGTAGCGGCCTCTATTGGCTCCCGTTTGCAACCTACGACGTTCCCAGGCACATCCTGCAACGGCTGGCGCTCCAGATGATGGATAAGCTTCAGAGCATACGCCCAAATACGCCCTCGTGCCGTATTCAGCCTCTACTTAGGTACAACGTCTTTCTACCCTGGCGCAGTCAACGAAAGCATGTCTAATGAGTGCCCCAGAGCAGGTAAGGTGTGCTGAATGTATCGATCCTGACTGTCGACTACATTACCGAGTACTCTTTCATCCTAAGGTTGCACGCTGAATGTCTAGCAGCTTCAGTTGCCTGTGCCGCTCTGTCTGATTCATTGTTCACCGGCCTCAAACATGACAAGAGAACCCCGGCCACGATGCGCTGTTCACCTCCCTTCTACTGCTCTTAAGCTGAAAGACGCTCCTCAGGCTTTCTCGACCTCCTGGATGCCGACTCCCCCCTTCCCTGACGCTCCAACCTCAATAACCTCTACTTTGGCCTTGTCACCCTCCATGATCACGGCAACTTCTTCGAGCGACGGCCCACGGGTTTCCGGATAGACGAAGAAAATCACGGTCGTTTCCACCGCAAGCCACACCACGTACACGATGTAATATTTCCATGTGATATCCTGAAGCCCTATCGGGTTGACAAACTGGTTGAAGGAGCTGCCCCCGCGAGAGAAGAACTGCGTAATGGCCACACCCTTGCTCCGATGGATAAACGGGAACACCTCGCAGATGAAGATGTAAGTGAGGGGCATCATGAGGTTGTAAAAGCCGTAATAGATGAAGATCAATGC